TAAGATGTTCAACTGGAAAACTGGAGAAAAATAGTTCAATTTGTTCGCACGTGTCGAGATTGGATAATGTTAACGATTGAAGTTCGTGCTCGCGGTTCGTTAACATCGAACAATATTCGAGAAAGAAGGTATAGAGTACTCACATTCTTCACTATACACTTCAGCATTATACAAAATACAAATACCAAATCAAAATTTAACTGTAACACCGTTTGCTAATATTAAATATCACTCATATTTTCGTGAGGAAGATGAAATATTATTTTCAATTAAAGCTGTTTTTTCTGTAATATCAATTGAACATCGAAACGATCTATGGATAATTGAATTATGTTTGATTGGTGAAGAAGATAATAAAGTAAAAGAAGTTTTCCATAAATATGATACAGTATATCGTAAGGACGTAACACCAGATAAACTCACCTGGATTTTCGAAACAGACATTTGTGCAATGAAATCACAATGGATAAAACCGTCTTGGCCTTCATTAATCACAGACGAATTATCTTCTATTTCACAACCATCTTCAACAGCAGTATGCACTACGGTTAATAACCGACTAACGTCAACAGTATCATCTAGCGAAAGGTATAGTCAGTACAATAAAGATGTTGAACTGATCGTTTATTCAGAAAAAGGTGAAACAACAGCTATTCATGCACTTTATGCAGAGTTTTTGGTATGATATCGTAAGGCAATAGTTTTCTTATTTGTTAAGTAAGACAATCAAATACTTTTTAAATAGAATTGTTATTCAGGTCACCTTCTCCGGTTCATCGAAGATATATCCAAAGCAAAAACTACCAATGGGAAAAATCTAGATACATTTCGCTTGTAATCGGACAATGCACGACTATTATCGTTTTCAAAAAGCAATGTCCCTGACTAAATTTTGAATAACTCCCCCATAGAAAGAGATATCGATCTCTGGTTTTCGCAGATCGCTAGCCAACACTTTTTTGCATATAGTCATGCCAAACACTCTCAAAAAATAAATTTAAAGTCGGTTTTCCAAGAGGATCTTTGGAAAACCAGCTCCATTCTCGGAAAACTAAGATACAATGTTAGTAATCGTTTTGCATGCGTAGATAGTCCAGACGTTACTCTACTAAATTATGCAGGTCCCGACTCTCCAGCTATCGTCGTTCGGACAGGGCTGGCTTTCCCGGGCACGTGTCTATCTCCAAGCAGACATCTCTGGGAATCTCGAAATGCCATGGGATATAGGTAATCGACTACGCTGAGCATAGTGGCAACATTTGTTTTTGTGTAGAAATGAAGCAGCATTTTTCTGAGATTCCCCTAGTCGAGACTCCCGGCAAAACTCCCACGGGACTCCTCTCACCGGGTGCACCTACAGCATCCTGCCGTATCCTGTAGGAGTCAGGTGGGACTTTCAAGGGATTTCTCAGGACTCCTGAAGACTCCCGTGGGACTTTGAGGATTCTCAGGACTTTCGTTGGACTCCCACAAGGACTCGAAAGCTCCACAGAAGTCCCACGGGAGTCTTCAGGAG